ATTCTACATTTTTAAAATGTGGCCATTTTTTCCAAAATAATTAATGGATACATCAATTAAATCTTTACTAATATTGTGCTAATCAATATATCATCCATATTTATATAAATATTATGTTGTTACCAAACTTATCTATTAATATTAAATAATTACCAAACATAATTATTGTAATTCAAATGGCTGTAATACACTTATAAATTAAAAAAAACAAATGAATTTATATGATTGGTTGTAATAGTTTGTAAAGTTGTACAAATTGGGGCAGTTTGCATTTGATCGCTCCTCTACACATACACATATACACACACACACATATATATACACATACATATATATAGACATATACATACATACATATATACATACATATCTATACTACATTAATAAACATTTAGATCAAAAGTGTTAAGTACTACCTCTAAAGCATTGAGTACTGCTTTTTGACACATAAAAACTGAAAATCTCTTAAAATAATAATTATGATGCATTATGTACAAGTCATTGATGCAAACGTTTTAAACCCAGGCCACCACCAAAAATGGGTGGTTCATAGGTTTGCTTTCTTCCCTCAGTCCTCGTCTTCCTTATTTCTTACATTTCCTTGTGCCAAAAACTGCTTTGGATATGACTCAAGAGTTTCTTTTCCCTCTGCTTAGGATTTTTTTTCCATTGATGACTACTCTAACTTCCCAGACCAGATTTGATTCCTGAGAGATGATTCATCCCCAATTATTTGCAGACCTAAGACTCTTCAAATGGGTTTTGAAGTTTCTCCCACTCTTGATTTTGAAATGCATCTATCTTGAAATCGTATTCAACATATTCAAATCATATTCAATTTCACGATCTCATCCATCGCTCTCATCTTTCAATTTCAGAGAGTATTCAATCTAGAGGCCATTCATGCTGTTGATCAGGGTTTACTTTAAATTTTTGCTCTCATCCTCGCTCCCTCTCCATCTCTTGATTTCAAAAAGACATAAATGAAGATATTTGGATTTCGTTTTCTTCTTTGCCTCTTCGTCATTGGCGCCAAGGTACCTTCTATTATCCTGCATTTTCCAAAAAAAAAAAACCTCACGTTGCTTCTTATAATCCACTTCTTGAAGGTCTCCCTCATTCATGGAGTTGCTACCAAAAGGGTTGGTACCTACCACTCTCTTCATACCCTTGGTTATTCTTTTCTGTATTTTAAAGGGGTTTTACTTGATTTAAATGCACATTTGATGAGTGATGAGCTGAAAGCTTTCCAAATCTTGGTTGAATCTATTATCCTTTTTTATTTGTTTTGCAGATTTGGAGTTTATATATACGGTTCTTTTTTTCTTTAGTTTTCAATCCTTCTGCAAAGTTTAATTATTTCCATCCATTTTGATGTTAATCACTTAAAAAAAATCAAAAATTTTCTTTTCAAATTCTAGGTACCATTTGCACCATGAATTTGGTCAGGTGCTAACAGTTGGCTGGTTCACTTGAAGGTATGTGACAACTTAATGACATTTGAGCATTTTATATTTATTCATATGTTAAATTTAAAGCTTCATTCAGTAATCTTTTAGCATACTTTTTTTTTCTATTTGAATGATTGATTCCTATTATCCTACACAATTTATGTTATGATTTTCTATTTTCAAATGTTTGTTGATTGTGGGAATGCAATATCTCAAAAAACTATACATATATACACTGTGGATGCCAATTCTGTTAAAGATGCAGGAGGGATAGGTTTTGGATCATTATCTATATGTTTTTTTGTACAATTTAGTAATATGAATTGTTATAAAAACCAACGAAATAGAATTAAAGTTAGAACATTTTTTTGGGAGGGGGATTTCTGGTGTTAATTTAAACTGTATTGTTGATCACTTTGGGTGTGCTTTGTGTTTCCATGTAAATGTGAATTTTTATTAGAAGGGGATATAAGCATAATGTTATTCATGGATTGTAGATCAGTTTCTGTATTAGATTGGTTGGCAATTTCAGGTAAATTTTGGATCTTTTAGGTGTTTTAGTTTGTTTAATTTCTGAAATTTATGCTACTATTCAATGTTGATTAGGCTATGTCGATGGACTCACCACTATCGTCAATAGATCTAATTTAAATGACTCCATTGTTGGGGAAGTTTCCAAGTTTTCTATCTTGTTAAGGAATGCTTATCAATATCCTTCTCCATTCGAGTTAGAAAGGCTTCAAGTACATATTGCATTGGCTTCACTCTCGCTTCGCTTGTATCAACATATATCTCCAATGGATTCTGTCGGTGGTATAAAAATTTCTCTATCTCATCTTCTGGAAATTTGATTTATATCCAAGTTATACATTGATGAGAACGTTCGAAGATTGATCAACAGGTACTCAGCCAACTGGAATATTGGATTATGGTCCATTTGATCCTATTGGAATTGCTTCAGTTCCATCTGTGTACTCGTATAACAATGTAATAAGTAGTTTTTATGTTGCTTTCAATGTTTTACATTGTATAAATTAAAATTAATGATACCTTTTGTTTCTTATTTTTAGTCAGCTCGGAACTGGAAAACGATGAGTAGTGCCTTTGATGTCCTTTATGTGCTTGAAGAGAGCGGGGTATATGAAATTTCATGTATTTTGTGGTAACATTCCACTAAATGATGGTATTCCATATATTTTTATAGTCTGAATTTAGTTATTCAAGTGACACTTCCTCTTGTATTTATTTTAGTAATGCCACCCAGTATATGGGTCAATCGTCACCTTTCAAGTACATGTCCGGCTAGAGAGAAGGTGAGGGAGAACAACAAGCCAATGCAGGCTAGACGAATTCGAGAATTATGCCTTCATTAACTGGGTTTAATCCCGCATTATCATCTTCACCCATCAGAACATCAGGATGGTATAAATCTGACATCCGATGATCCAAGATTTACATTCCTCATTGACATTGGCAAATGGAAATCTTGATCAGGGTTTGCTTTCCCATTAATAGGTTCCTTACCCGTTACTAATTCGAGTAAAATCACCCCAAGATGTAGATATCATTCTCCTTACTAACATCTTTTATTTCACTCAACTCAGGTGTTGTATAACCCTCCACAACAGCAAATTTGTGCATTTCCTGTGCTGCTGCTGGATTCAAGAGGAGATGCAGGCCAAAATCAGATATGAACGAATGTTGTTTTATTCCCAAAATTACGTTTTTTGACTTGATATTTCCATGGATGATTGGCTTTTGAAGCCCTGTATGGAGATAATCTAATCCTTTAGCAATCCCCATTGATATCCTATAAATGACTTCCCATTTGTGGGATTCACCATTCCCATCTGCTCAATTAAAATTCAAGAAACATAAGCTACCAAATCTAAAAGTGTAGCATGTGAATGAGATTTAAATATAGGAAGATAATCAGATAAAAACAAGGATCCAAAATATGACTAAACTGAGCCAACAGACACTCCCCCACATGCTTAGACTCCCTTAAATCAAGAATACTTTGATTTCTATATGAACATAATTGCTAGAAGTAATAATTAAGATGAATAATTAATTATTACATGAGCTATCACATAATTGTAGTTCTTGTCTCTTCCTAGAGACAAAATTTGACTTTTCAAGGTTAAATTAGTCAATTTTATGAAATTGAAGGGGATTTAAAGAAACAATGGTCTTGTTTTATAAACTGAATAACAAATAGCTACCCATCACCAATATTCAAGAAATCAACAAAATCCAGAAAGAGGCATCTGATCGAAAGCAAATATGAATCAAACGATGCATCAAAAGCAAAAAAGGAAAAGGAACAGAATAACCACAATTTTAACCTTCAATTTTATATATTAGTTGACTTGGAAAATAACCGCACAAAAACATGATTCAAGGCTAAACTAATGTTTCATAATTGTGATTCATACAGCATAGGTACACCACTAGTATATCTATACTACATTAATAAGCATTTAGACAAAAGTCTTAATTATAAGTCTTAAAGCATAAAGTACTATCACTTTATGCAAGAGATTCAAAAACCTCTTAAGTACAAACTATTATGCATAATGTACAAATGCTTAAAAGATACCATTTGTTTAGTCAAAGTTTCAGATTTAAGTAAGCCATATTTACATGAAAATATATGTTTGTTCTTCCCAAAGTTGTTTGACACTTTGTTTGTTTCCTATTTTGAACCCAAATTCAAATTCAAAGTTCTTCTTTCTCTTGAAGTAAACTGAAATTTGAAGCAACAATATGAGAAAGGGTTTCAGATCATTGCATGTACCCCTCCCCAACCCTTCAACTTTATATGGGTTTAGAAACTCAACATGTGTGCAATTATTTTTCCAATCGATCTTGCTAATACATCATATTAACGTTCAACTTTATATATTAGTTGACTTGTAAAATAACCACACAAACTCATGATTCAAGGCTAAACTAATGTTTCAGAATTGTAATTCACTCGCGCTGCATCGTGCGGGTACACCACTAGTAATATATATATATATATATATATATATTTATATAGGGTTGGGTTCACGTGAGACCAAAGGTTTTTCGTGAGACCCATAAGGCCAATTTATGTTCATTGATCAACTTTATAAGCTAATGATCTAATGGTCTAAAGTTGCATGGTGGCAATTTTGTGATTATTGAGAAGTCTCGTTGCAATTCTGTGATTATGAATGTTCAGATTATAGATCTAATCCAAGGGTTGAGAATTGGTCTTATGGGTCTCACGAAAAACCCTTGGTCTCACATGATCCCATGTCTATATCTATACTACATATATAAGCATTTAGACTCATATCTTAATTACAAACCATAAGGCACAAAGTACTGCCATTTTATGCATAGATTTCAAAAAACTCTTAATGACAAGTTATAAAGCATAATGTACAACTTGTTGATGCATTGATAAAGCGATATAAAGTCCTCTACTCCAACAGATTCAGACCTTCCCCAGCTATCCCTGTGTGCCAAAACCATTTTGGTAAGGTCGTACCTTTCTTTTTTCTATTGACAATCTTCTTCTTCCTTTTCCATCTCTCCCCTGTGCTTCAAAACCAGTTTGGTAAGGATCAGACCTCGCTTTCTTCCATTGCTACTACCTTTGCACAAATGGCTGATTTGATGTATCAATTTCGTGGCTCCCAAGAAGACCTCATCCTGTGCATATAACCTGAAATTTGAAGTTTTGATTTCTCCATTTCCATTTCAAAACCCTAACGATTTCATGGTTTTAATTACAGGGTTCTACAGGTTCATATGTTGTGGTACGCTTCATCTCTATCTCTCAATATGTTCACTGTACGCTTCATCTCTATCTTTTGATTTCATGGATTTTACTTTAGATTGTTTCTATAAACAAACCCCTTGTTTGTTTACAAGTGATGTTTCTACGATGATTTCATTTTAGGATAATCAATTGATTAGTTGGATTTTTTTTGGTTTTTTCTGCATCCAGTGTTTTCAGTTGGTTTTTTTGCTGTAATTTGATCAGYTCTTCATTGGTTATTTTGTTGTAATCTGATCATTGTTCCAATGGGAAATGGTTTTTTTTGGTTGAACATCTACCTTTGTGCAAAAAGAATGGAACCTGGAATTATGAGACTAACAAGGGTGAATGAAACCTTGGTATAATGATGACCAAAAAAGTTGCAAACAAATGATGATATTAACCTGTCTGGCACTCATGGTTTTGYTGTAATCARATCAATGTGATTGATTAGTAATCAAATCTTATAACTAATTAATCAAACTGTCAGGCACTCATGACTTGTTTAACTCTATAAGGATGAATATAACTGTTTAAATGAAAGATCAAATAGCCAAATGATTGCTAAAAGGAAGATCTAATGTTAGATAAGCCCATTATATATATATGAACTCAAGTTGCTTCTCTCTAAACACCACTGTTTAAAAATTAGTTTATGCTTTGTCCAAAGACCAAAAAATAGATATGTAGGAACTTGTTTTGTCTAAATATAATGGACTTGCTTTTGTGGTGTCATTAGGCTAAAATAACATGACCAAAACTCATAAGACCAGCTGTGTTGATTGTTATCAAGCATTTAGTTTTTCCCCTTAGGTGGTTACACCTTGGAGGTGGTGGTTCAAATAGCCCCTCTTATTTGCTTTTTATTACCTGTAAGTTTCTGCATAGATTCTAAAATTAAGTTGGAGTTTATCCATTTACATCTTAATTTTTTACAGGGTCTAACTCACTTTGATGAGATTTTGCAAGAGGCAGATGGTATTATCCTTTCCTGTGGAAATCTTTGCTTTGATCTTCCACCAGAGAAGGTAATTTCTATYAAGTTAAATAGAGTAACAATTTCGTGACAGGTATATGCCAAATATTTAGAAGAAATATATTAGCATTAAGCTGTAATCTAATCATTGTTTCAATAGAAAATGTTTTTTTTTTGTTGAACATCTACCTTGGTGCAAAAAGAATGGAACCTGGAATTATGAGACTAAGAAGGGTGAATGAAACCTTGGTACAATGATTACCAAACAAGTTGCAAACAAATGTTGATATTAACTTTTGTACAATGATGACCAAGTTCCACAAGACATTAACCAAATAGATGTTGCAAAAGACATTGACCAAAATACCAAAATTCAAGGCTGAAATTGTTTGCATCAACCAAGATTCTGCTATAAATCATGGCAGGAACTGTTTGCATTAACCAAAAAGTACCAAAATTCATCAACAAATAGTATCATTTTAACATTAACCAAAAATACCAAGGGTGAATGAAACCTACTGTTGGATTCTCAGGACTTTGTTCCTCTTGTTTCTATAAACAAGATTCGCCTCATCCATATATGTATGGACTTGCTTTGTCTAAATATAATGTACTTGTTTTTGTGGTGTCATTAGGCTAAAATAACATGAGCAAAACTCATAAGAGCAGCTGGAGGTGGTGGTTCAAATAGGCCCTCTTCTTTGCCTTTTCTGTAAATATAATGGACTTGCTTTTTATTACTTTGGTTGGCCTATGTCCCTTTTGTATGCATTTAAAACAGTGAAGATTGTGGTCCTTTTACCTTGTTCTAATAAGTGACACTGCAGGTTTAAGGCCTTTGAGCAGAGGGAAGTAGTATATCTGATATGTATGTTTAGCAGTATGCGATTGATATAAATTGTTAAAGCCTTTGAGCAGAGTTAAATCACATAAATGTTTCAAATTCAAATTCAGCCCCCCCAAAAAAAAAATCTTCCAGAAATCTCTCAACCCCATCCCAAATTCAAATTCATGCTTTTGTTTTTGAGGTTGAGTTAAATGATATAAAGGTTTCAAATTTGAAGGTTTCTTACAGAGTTTGTGATATGTACTTTTGATCGACTGTGGGTTACTGTGTGTGATGAATCCTGCTACTGTCATAAAGCAGACAACAAACAAGTTAAAACTTCAACAAACAAAAAAAGAATCAGTCAATAACATGAAAGACAATGTCAAAAGCATACAAAACATTAAAGTAGACATAGGAACTCCATATTCTGTCCATTAATATGATGTTGCTGTCAAAATGAACATATAATGTTTACCAACAAAAATTGGTTCTTGATATGTTGCTTTCAAAGTCATGGTCTTGAAATACATATATTGGTTGAATTTAATTCATGTAAATGCTCCTCAAAACTTTTCTGTTTTATGTAAATGTTTCTCAAACTAATTGCTTAGCTTGTTTCTCCACAACCATTTGATCAACTAATACTGCTCCATTTGATCAGCTACTGCTGCTCCTCAAACCAATTGCTTAGCTTGTTTCCTATTGTTTTATGACACATGATTGAGAGCCAAAATGTTCCTACTGTTTTGTTCTTACTGGTTGTGTTTGTGAGCTTACAGTTTTAACAGCAACTGGTTGTGTTTGTGTGCTTACAGTTTCAACAGCAACTGGTTGTGTTTGTGTGCTTACAGTTTCAACAGCAACTGGTTGTGTTTGTGTGCTTTCAGTTTCAACAACAATTGTTTCTTCATCAGGTATAAACACATCTTGAGGATAAGTTCTCTTTTGTATCTTTACAGACGCTTGGTTGGTCTCTTATCAATCAAAAATCTTTCCCATGCATGCATGGTAGACTATGATAACCTGCTTAATATGCTAAGTTGTTTCAGGAAATGGAGGTGTGATGATGTACTATAAAATTGTKATTTTGATCTTAGTTTTGGCTGTTTCTTATAAGAGGTGGTTTTAGTTATAATGTTAATTTCCTTGTTATTTTTTAGTTTATAATTGCTTTTGTAATAAGCTTCTTAATTGTATCGACTCTCTTTCTGTTAGCAGCTCATGCTTCGTTCTTTCATTTTTATAAAGAACATTCTTTTTAAATTTCTTGGGTTTGTTTGGTTTACTTTGATTTACTTTGATTTGGTTCTTTGTAGTTTTAGTTTCTTACGTGGATGTATGGGGTAAAAGATTTTAACGAATCTGAGTGTATAATATTTACCTAATGTTAAACTCCTACTAATAACCTTGTAGTTGTGTTAAAAGTCCACTGAGTGTAAAATTCACATTATTGATACTGTTGTTTACCTGATGGTGTTGCAAATGGAAACCATGTGAATATGTCTGGGCTGCATGCTTCATCCCCTGAAACTACTACTCATGTACAAACAATCCTTTTCAAGTGATGCATATATGCTGATGTATTGTCTTGGGTATCAAACAAATGGTCATAGAAAAGCACAATTGGGATTTGGTGGAGAGATACCGAAGGATGAAAATTCCATTTCTGTGCAAACTGATGCTTAATCTTCCATCTTATCTTATAAAGGATGGTGAAGATTCTTACCCGGGTAAGCCGGGTAAATTGTTGCATACGATACCGTTTTAATATACTACAATCTTATCTGGTAAAATAGATTATAGTGTCGACTTCTACCGATGAACGCTTACCGAGTAAGTATTTGGAAAAACGGCCCTTTTACTACTTCTATTTCATGCATAATATCAATCATTTATCAAGACTCTTGGCATAGTTTGTAAAAATCAAATGTTTATATATATGGAATTGAAAATTGCCTGTTTTAACCGTATAAAAGTACCAGATTACAATTTGCAGATAAACATAAAAAAACCTTGTACATTATATACAAAATATGCATTAATAACTTAAGCAGCACCGTTGTCCGGTCCTCTCTCCAACCTTGGGGCCATTTACCAAACACTTACTTGAGTAAGCGCTTACCAAGTCGCATTACCTCATCGGATGAATATGATAAGGACCAACAATCTTACCCGGTAAGAGCGAGACAAGGACCAAGAGTCTTACCCGGTAAGTGAGGGAGACGACTCTTACCTCGATAAGTGCTTACCGGGTAAATTGTTACATGCGATGTCGTTTTTGGTGGACTAAAATCTTACCCGGTAAGTAAATAATAGTGTTAAATTTTAAGGGTAAACACTTACCGGATAAGTATTTGGTAAACGGCTTAGTGGGTGTAGAGTGACAGCTTGAGGCTTTTTTCTACAAAAGATGATGCAATTCATGAGAAAAGAAATAAATACAACAAACGATCATGATTCACAAACTATTTCAGGTTGATTTGCAAAATAACCACAAACTCATAATTTTGGGCCAGACTAATATTTCAAAATTGTAATTCATCAGCGCTGCATCGCGCGGGTACACCACTAGTATATATATATATATATATATATATATATATATATATATATACATACATACATACATATATAGGGAAGAGTTCAAACGAGAACCCCTGTGATTTAAGATAATGCAAGAACAACCTACCAACCAAGTAATGTGATAACAATCAAAATTAAGGGATTTTTTAAATTTAAAATAATAATTAAAAACAATTCAAAAGGATTTGACAGGAGAAAAGCTAATCTTGGAATTCAAAATGATAATATTTAGAAAAACACCATCAGAAAAGACTTTGATCATCTACGGACTGATAATATCATGGGCTACGGTGGTTATCTTGGTTAATATAGGAAAAGGTGTCATACGTTTTAAGAGGATAGGGAGAAGAAATCGAACAACAAGAAGTTTGAGGGAGAAGTTTATAGAGACAATTGATTCAAGGTTTGCTTATCACAAATTTATCATACTTAGAACATGAATCGCTCACAGTCGTTCAATTAGGGTACGAGTATCACACGATTATCACAAGAAATCCAGCTACAATTTATTGGTTCGACTAGGGTTAACGTATCCACTCAATTCAAATAACAGTGTAATAATCGATAAGGTTGTGATATCGAACAAAGTGTAGTCATATTAGGTGATAACTATGTGATAATCTATACACGATTAGGATGTGATAATTGTGTGATTAGGAACCTAATCAAACCAAAAATATTGTAGTCGGACCTAAATACGAATCGTATCTTGTGAAAATCATCTGCTACTCGATTCGATTAGGGTACGAGTATCACACGATTATCACACAAAATCCTACTACAAACTATTGGTTCGACTTGGTTAACGTATCTACTAAATTCGTATTTGGGTGTGATAATCATGTGATAAGTTAACCCAAAGACGAATCGAGTAGCACAAGGTTTTCACAAGATACGATTCACATTTAGGTCCGACTACAATCTTTCAGTTCGATTAGGTTCCACAATCACACGATTATCACAGCCCAATCGTGTACAAATTATCACACGATTATCACTTAATACGACTGCACTTGTTCGGTGTCACAACCCTATCGATTATCACACTGTTATCATACCCAATGGAAACAAAATGACTGTGATGGAAAATTTGGTGGTTGTATCGATTAGGTTCACGATTATCACACTGTTATCATACTCAATGAATAGAAAATGACTGTGATGGAAAATTTGGTGGTTGAATCGATTAGCTTCATGATTGTCACACTGTTATCATACTAATGAATACAAAATGAATGTTATGGAAAATTTGGTGGTTGAATCTATTAGGTTCACGATTATCACACTGTTATATCAAGAAATTTCGAAACTTCATATACGATAGGGAGAAAAAGATGGGAAGAAAACGACAGACGTTCTACTCAACATGATCGATCCCAAGCTAAAATGATGGGATAATTCCAATTAATTAAAATAAGATAAAAATTATAAAAAATACCTAATCACGTTACTACCCTTAATGTTTTCATTTAAAATAACTTAAATTATTGGTTAAAAAGGTTTGAAGCCCACAAGTGTTCTCGCATTCTCGTAAATCACATGTGTTCTTGTTTGAACTCCCACCTATATATATATATATATACACACACACACATATATATATATATAAAGAGAGAGAGAGAATTTGGTTCAAATGTTAACCAAGATTATTGTATTAACTTCGTTAACCAAGCTCAACCAATGAAAATTCATCTTTTCGTTAGGTTCACATACATCTCATATGTTAATGACAAGGGTAATTAAGTAATTTTATCATTTTGTGTAACTCCCATATCATTAATTGGGAGTTATAAAATCTAAAAATCCCATAATTGATGATGATTTAATATTGATCTTGTTTTTCAATTTGTGATTGTTTTTGAAATTTGATTTATCTATCTATAATGTTATTGAATTTGTGATTGTTAAGGGATTCCAGATAGTAAAGTTTTCGATATCGTCCAAGCTATTATGGATAAACCCATTGGAAAACAGATCGACAACAATGAGAATGAGAAGGTTAAAATGGTTTACGAATACAATCGGACTTCGAGTTTCGGAAGTGAAGACAATGATCAAAGCGTTTGTATTGATAATGGATTAATATGATATTACATTCGTTTTAATCGACAGTTCTCACATTTAACAGTTCTCATTTATCTTGCAAAAAATGTGACTGCAGCTGACCTGTTGAACAACTTCTGTATATTTAGGAGCTGGCTCTGTTAAGAAATTCCATCAGTTTATAGGTGAAGACATATGAAGTTAACACACAGTGCATTAGATGTTCATATGAAGACACAGGGACACACATAGACATATGAAGACATATGAACACATCAGAAATCACACAACCTTAGATGTCGTGATTCATATGTATTCATGTATATTCAAGTCAGTAGATGTTCATATGAATACATACACACACACATACACAGAACATGTGAAGACATGTGAGCACACATGAAAACACACAGCCCTAGATGTCTTGGTTCATAGGTGTTCATGTACATAAACAGAGTTGGCTCCTGAATATACAGAAGATGTTCATATGGTTCACATGTTGTTCATATGTCTAATCTTTTTTGTTTAATGTGGTTTGAGGATATACACAAGCTGTTCATATGTCTGACAACTCGTGTATCAAAGATAGATTACTTTTTACSTAAATACCCTTTGATATTTTGTTCACATATGTTAATTGAAAATATTAATTTAATAATTAATTTTTAAATATCATTAAATCACAACCGTTTATTATTCAAATTAACGGTCAAGATCGGTTAACAAAGTTAACACGATAATCTTGGTTAGCATTTGAACCAGCCTCTCTCTCTATATATATATATATACACACACACACACATATATATATATATATACATACACACATATATATACATACATATATATACACACATACATATACACACACACACACGCATATATATATATATATATATACATACACACACATATATATATATATATACATATATATTTACACTAAGATTTTATCTTGAAAATTCCTAAAGTTTGCCCAACAAATGGCAACCCAAACTAGTTAGACATTGGGAATTAAAGTTAAATAATTATAAAGTTTAATTTTAAAACCTAAACTATATAGATATTCTAAACTTACCACAACCCGGCTATTGCTCGAAGTCACACAATCCCCCAAGGACCTGCTATGTGAAGAGGAGGACTCTAATTTCGAACTCTTCCTATAGGTATGATCAAACACATCCACAACGGTTAGTGGTGCGTCTTGTCTTGATTTCG